CGATATTACGATTCACCATGGCAACAGCTCCCGCCAAAAAAGACATCTGCATACTTGAGTCAATACAAGTTTAATTCTTATAACTGTTATAATATCACAGGTGAAAACTTGCAGAACGGTAGGTTATTGAACTAATAGGCTATTCATTTTCATGGAATCCCACGGGCAAAAAAAAAAATAATAATCATTTAAGTGCATTTTTCTTATTTTACAAATGATCTGCCAATAGGGTAAGAAAAAGATGGCAGCGGCTATTTACACTAAGTGGAATTAACATACTTCCTTAGCGATAGATCCTATTTACAGTAGGCTAAGTGCAAATAGCTCTAGATGCTATTTACACTATAGTGAAAATAGTGATATATTCTATTTACCATGTAAAAGTAGCAGTTCTTTGCAATAAGTGTAAATAATAATTAGATGCTATTTATACTTTATACTGGCAGATACTTACTATTTGCACCTCAGTATTGTTGTACATTAATGGGATGCAATAATAATACAAGAGTGTAAATTATTATATTTCTTACAATTATAAATACTTATCATTATTATAAATTATTAACATTATTAAACACTGGTTAGGAACTTTACTTCCACTTTTCTTAATTTTTATTGAAAATAAATTCTAATGTGATAGGAAAAGTGAGGCAGAAGGCAGACTCACACCCGGTCAATCACATCACAAGCTAGTTCTCCGTGCCCAATGCGTTACTGCCTACACCACTGAAGCCATTATTCATACGCGTCGTATTTAACCTTGTGTGACATTGGAGGGCGGAGCTACTGTAAATTTGCACTTAGTAACAGACACTCCGAATAATCTTGTTTTCCATTTGCATTAAGATTATTTTTATTACCACACTGGCAGATAATTTTACTTAAGTAAAATGCACTTAATTTAGATATGGCAGCGGCTATTTACACTAAGTGGAATTAACATACTTTCTTAGCGATAGATCCTATTTACAGTAGGCTAAGTGCAAATAGCTCTAGATGCTATTTACACTATAGTGAAAATAGTGATATACAGTCGTGGCCAAAAGTAATGGCAGTGACACATAATTTGTTTTCTGCAGCTTTTTTGTTTACTTTTGGCCACGACTGTAGGCCTATTCTATTTACCATGTAAAAGTAGCAGTTCTTTGCAATAAGTATAAATAATAATTAGATGCCATTTATACTTTATACTGGCAGATACATACTATTTGCACCTCAGTATTGTACATTAACGGGATGCAATAATAATACGAGTGTAAATGATTATATTTATTACAATTATAAATACTTTTATCATTATTAAACACTCGTTAGGCACTTTACTTCCACGTTTAGAACATTTTCTTCATTTTTATTGAAAATAAATTCTAATGTGATATGTGACGGGACAATGATATGTGATGGGAAAAGTGAGAAGAGCGAGCTCTGCAAAAGCCGGGCTCGAACCCAGTCAATCACACATCACAAGCTAGTTCTCCGCACCCAACACGTTACTGCCTACACCACTGAAGCTGTTAATCATAAGCATCGTATTTAACCTTGTGTGACATTGGAGGGTGGAGCTACTGTAAATTTTCACTTAGTAATAGACACTCCGAATAATATTGTTTTCCATTTGCATTAAGATTGTTTTGAATTTAATTTAAAGAATTGTTTTTACCACACTGGCAGATAATTTTACTTAAGTAAAATGCACTTAATTTAGATCCGATCCCCCCCCCCCCGGTCAATCACATCACAAGCTAGTTCTCCGTGCCCAATGCGTTACTGCCTACACCACTGAAGCCATTATTCATACGCGTCGTATTTAACCTTGTGTGACATTGGAGGGTAGAGCTACTGTAAATTTGCACTTAGTAATAGACACTCCGAATAATCTTGTTTTCTATTTGCATTAAGATCATTTTTGTTACCACACTGGCAGATAATTTTACTTAAGTAAAATGCACTTAATTAGATCCCCCCCCCAGGAAACAAGATTAAATATCTTATAGGCTATCATTTTCTTATATAGAAAATCCATCTTGATTTAAGAATTTTTTTAGATATTTGTACTTGAGATAAGAAAAAAAATACTTAGTAAGAAAAGCATTTTTGCAGCGTGCATGAATGAATGAAGTATTTAAACATCGCTTGCACTTTAAATAGGGGGAGGAGACCGTAAGAAACTCTGGGTTTACAGAAGAAAACCTGCTCCTGACCAGGTTAGGTTCACAGTGTTACCATGGTAACTGACTCTGAGTATAAGTTACCTCTCTTTCAGAAACGGGCTTGACTTACCCCGCTTTCTCGGGTTTGAGACAACACCCGTTGTGAAACAGAAAACCCAGAGCTTCCCTCATTTCAGAGTTAACATATTCAGTTTCCACTAAACCTCCTTTCCAAAATGGGCTTCACGCTCAGGTGTGAAATTATTGTATTTATGTGTACAGACATATAAAAGATAAAACAGCCCTTTCAGTAATGTGAGAAAAATTTTCCCATAATACACACCCAAGTTAAGAGCACATTTTTAGAGCGTATTTTTAGTGAACAATATAGTTATGGTAGATTAACAGAAAGCTAATCATCAAATGAACCCAAGCTCCAATAATTTCATGCAAAACCTAATTACCTAATTATAACTCAAACCACATCATTACTGTCACAAGGACACTGTGAGAGATTAAATGACCTTCATTTCCTCTCTTTGGGAATTTTGTTCTAATTTTTAATACTGCTGTTTTCACTGACAAGAACCACTTTATTCTGAAATGATGCAGGTTAAACGTTTTCAGAAACGGGCTTGACTTACCCTGCTTTCTCGGGTTTGACATACCTCCCATTTTGAAACGGAAAACCCAGAGTTTCCCTCATTTCAGAGTTAACATACTCAGAGTTTACACTTAACCTCCTTTCTGAAACGGGCCCCTGGTCTGTTAGCTTTATACATTTGAGGTTGATCAGTGTTTTTTTCCAGTGCTCAAAACCGCTTTTGGGACTCAGTATTGGCATTTCTTTATTTGTATTATTTTTTCTGTGGGTTGTTTTATTGGCATTGCATGATTATTAATACATTATGTTAAACGAAAGTCACACATGAAGCTTAGACATTATTGATTATTTTCTGTCCTTCCTGTTTCAAAAGGAAATAGCACTGTAAAGAAAATTGTGTATGCCAAACCTTTTCATGTGCTCTATAAATATAACCCTTACATTGTGCGAATTGAATTCATTTTTACATTGTAACAAACAATTAGCCATTTATGGTTGCAAAAATGCATACAGTACCTTGTGCTCAAAACCGCTTTTGGGACTCAGTATCGGCATTTCTTTATTTGTATTATTTTTTCTGTGGGTTGTTTTATTGGCATCGCATGATTATTAATACATTATGTTAAACGAAAGTCACACATGAAGCTTAGACATTATTGATTATTTTCTGTCCTTCCTGTTTCAAAAGGAAATAGCACTGTAAAGAAAATTGTGTATGCCAAACCTTTTCATGTGCTCTATAAATATAACCCTTACATTGTGCGAATTGAATTCATTTTTACATTGTAACAAACAATTAGCCATTTATGGTTGCAAAAATGCATACAGTACCTTAAACGTTTGGTTGAGTGAAAACTGGAAATTCTTAGAAACCCTAAGTTTGGTTTTTACAGTATGTGACATTAAATTTCAACAGGAAATTCATGTACATTGTTGAGCTCTTGCCACAATGTATGGAGCACTTATGCAGGATCTAATGTTAGCTCTTTGTTCCTGAGAGGGAGTAAACCAGTGAAATGTGCTATTTTCGGTTGATTGACGGTGTGCTTCAGGAAGTTTACCGCAACAGTACCTTAAACGTTTGGTTGAGTGCAAACTGGAAATTCTTAGAAACCCTAAGTTTGGTTTTTACAGTATGTGACATTAAATTTCAACAGGAAGTTCATGTACATTGTTGAGCTCTTGCCACAATGTATGGAGCACTTATGCAGGATCTAATGTTAGCTCTTTGTTCCTGAGAGGGAGTAAACCAGTGAAATGTGCTATTTTCGGTTGATTGACGGTGTGCTTCAGGAAGTTTACCGCAGTTCCTTTTGATGACATGCCATTCATTCAGAAAAGCCACAAAAGTTCTCATAGCTTATATGCTTAGCTTAGCCTTTGTCTCACACATCACAGGAGATCTTGTCTCTCAATCTCATGAAACCATCAACAAGAAGTAACTGTGCCTTACAGTCGGAGCTCTACCAAGTGTGATGCCAGGAAGAGTTGAAAAGTGCAGAAATCAAAAACAGATATGAACTGTTACACACTCCAAAGTAAATGATCTTAACAACAAGCTGCTGTTCAGTTCAGAATCTTAATTAAAAGTTAAATTAATCTCCTTTGAGAACTGTACGTCTTTGTGTTAAACATCTAAATATGAAAGTATCGTTTCTGGCTTAATAAATCTGATTAAGGATGTAGCCTAGGTTGATAATTATGTTCATTTTATTCTATACTGTTAAAGACAATTAAATTC